AAGAGCCTAATTTCTGCTCCTAATCAGCAGAAATGTACATTTTTTTCCTTCTTTTTACACCAATAAATGACAGTAAAATGTTTCCTCCTTTTAATATTTCCATCTAAAAACCAAAACATTTGTTTCCTTGTATAAATAAAGGCCATTAAAGCCTAATTTCTGCTCCTAATCAGCAGAAACAGACATTTTTACAATAAAATGTCTATCTCCGTCCATCCTCCTTTTAATATTTCCATCTAAAAACCAAAAATGTCCCTTTCCTTGTATAAATAAAGTTAATTAAAGGCTAATTTCTGCCCCTGACCAGCCGACCGGAGCAGGAAAAGGCTGCGTACGTACGGGGGACTTCCATATTTTAAAAAAGAGCCTAATTTCTGCTCCTAATCAGCAGAAACAGACATTTTTTCTGCTTTTTTCTATCTTCCTTTTAAAATTTCCATCTAAAAACCAAAATGTTTTTTTCCTTGGATAAATAAAGGTAATTAAAACCTAATTTCTGCTCCTAATCAGCAGAAAAATACATTTTTTCTGCTTTTTTCTATCCTCCTTTTAATATTTCCATCTAAAACCCAAAATGTCTTTTTCCTTGTATAAATAAAGTTAATTAAAGGCTAATTTATGCCCCTAATCAGCAGAAATGTACATTTCTTTCCTGCTTTTTACACCAATAAATGACAGTAAAATGTTTCCACCTTTTAATATTTCCATCTAAAAACCAAAACGTCTTTTTCCTTGTATAAATAAAGTTAATTAAAGCCTAATTCTTGCCCCTGACCAGCCGATTGGAGCGGGAAAAGGCTGCGTACGTACGGGGGATGCGTGCGGAGTGCCAGGGCACAGAGTTGGTGATGTAATCGGGCTTTGAGGCGCTGATGATGACCCAGGTCCCCACGCGGTACGGAAAGCCCACCCGGACCACCCCGTCGGCGCCGGCCCCGCCCGAGGCCAGCAGCGTCTGGTTGCCGTGGACGACCACCTGGGCCCCGCCCGAGGCCGACAGCGTCTGGTTGCCGTGGACGACCACCCGGGCGCCGCCCAGCGCGGACAGGTCGCTGCTGTCGAACACCTGGACCCTAATC